AAAATCTTTTTTGAAATCAAATTAATGAATGCTGTACACGTTTCCTTTTGAGAGTATGATTTGGTATTTTTCTCGGTCCAAGAAGGCACAACCCCCTGCTGAAACGAGTACTTCTGGGGGCAAGAGGACAGCTTTATGGTGGCAAAGGTTAGGGGGCAGGACTTCTGGTTACACGATGGCAATCGGGGGGGGTGGGGCACTTGCCAAAGGGCAGAGCTACCCATGCAGCCTTCAAAAGCTTGCCAAAAACTCAGTAAGTGGCCCTCCGCCCAAAATAATTGCTCACCCCGGTTTACATGGCCAACCCCAAAGGGTGAGTGGGTGGGGGGCATGTAAGCTCTCCCTGAAATGCTCTGTTGTTCATGACAGCTAATTGGTCAGTTATTATAATAAAAACTTAAGACATGGAATACCATATGTATTTTTAATTCACACATTTTCAATTCCTTTGCAAGAAGCCAACATAAAATGTAATATCATTTCTATGCGTGGTAGATTCTTTTGTGGTATGAGTAGACAGCTAACCATACATGCCCAATGGCATAAAAGAAAAGAAGGATTAACACTTGAATGACAACTGATTCCTCTTTAAAAGGTTTTTTTTTTTAAGTTGAGTTAAAGTGGCTTAGAATAACCGTGATCTACGTACTGCTAATAGTACATGGATTCCAAATGGCCTGCCTGGCTGTTCCTATAGGACTAGTGAGGCACATATCTAAACTTTCATGTGATTCTCCCTCCCTATAGTTGCAGGGTATGTACGTATGCAAGCTTGTGATATCAAGCCTCTTTCTACTTTCTGCCCATTGTATTCATTTTTTATGATAATTACTAACTGTAAATTGATTGTAATGACATTTTTATGTTAACAATGACAGAGCTGTTTTGAGGTAAGGATTATAGTGAAGCAGGGAGAAGCTGGTTTGATCAGCCCTCATTTGGCCTTCAGCCTACTGTCACCAGTTCTGAACAAGAGGATCACCAGCAGCAGGTAACAGAGGCATGTATTAAAACATTATGTTCAGATATATTTCAGTTCACAAATGATCAAGTGCTTGACTTTTCTAGCATAGTACTGAACAAGTAGCAGTTTTCTTTTCAACATTTCTTATTGTTCATAGAATATTGCTCAATACTTATGCAATCAGTGGAAAGATACTGCATCTTACACTTCTCCCCATCGAGCAACTTGTTTATATGATCGCACAATGTTTTACTGAAGTGCTATGTTAGCTTGTTGGTGATCAACGTCCCTTGTGTATAAGGAAGAAATTAAGCACGCAGCACCGAGGTGTTTGTTTGTATTTGTATCTATTCACATTACTAGAGTAACACTGATGAAAATCATTGCATTAAAACCATTTGTAGGGTTGTTCTTCCCCAGACTCATCTCCATACTGTTTCTTAACTCTATTGTTATTACAAGTAAAATGCATATGGTCTGATCACTACAGAAATTCTAATACATGGTGTTCAGCTGCAGGAACCTCCAAGATAAAGTCATAAATTCTAGAGGCCAATCAGTACCAATGAAAACAAATTAAACAAATCCCCTGTACTTTACTACCTATTCAATTATCGATAACTAAATGAGACAGAAGAGAAGGCTACATGAGAACATGGGAAAGAAGCAATCCCACATTTCAAATGAGAAGTTTTAACTGTATAGTAAAATTCATGCAAAGACTAACCCCCCCAAAAACTGAGAATAGCTTACAAATTGAGGATCTGCCACTTCACTAAGACAAAATAGAAAGGAGTGAGAAAATCAGAGACTAACGGATTTATCCAACCACTTGAAGTGTAAAATAAAATGTACTAATAACATTCTAGACAAAAACCTCAACATGAAATATGAAATGGTACTATAAATTAATCTTGCCTCTACCCAAATTGTTTTTCCTTATCACACATTCAAAGGTGTGGAAACAATTCACCTGTGGTGTGGCAGCAGTTTTTGGAGAAAAGAAGTTGGACCCAGTAAGAATACCACTTCCATACTGCGATATTTCATTTAATTGGAATAGTTTGTTGTCTGACTGGAGTAATAATGCATATAATCTGTCATATCCTCACCACATAAGCACCATCTTGCTATACTTGAACTATAATTGCCTGCTCCCACATTTATTGTCACTGAATTTATTCAGAGTTTATCTGAAATTAATTTTTTCATTTAGTTGTAGTGCATCAAGTATATTCCCTTTAGGAAGGAAAGGAAAGTTTTTTCCTCCTAAGCTGCAGATTTTATGTTCTGTAAACTAATGAGATAATAAATTAATCTGGTCCAGGACAAGGGCCCCACTGAACAAAAGGACCACCTGTGCTCCAAAGAACCTCTATTCAATCTATATTACCACAGGTCATAATAACTGGTCCAAGATCCACAGGTTTAATTACGTGGATCATTCAGAAAATTACTGTGCCTCATCGAGCTTCAAACTAGAGCCAAGTAATATACCTTTTACACCGTTGGAAGTAGGAATTCTTCAGTAACTGATATTCTAAAATCACAGCATGTCAAAAATTTACAGCTCATAATTTTTTTGCTGCATGTCTCAAAATGCAAATCTCCTAAGACTGACATTATCCTCTCAGGACTAATTCAGCTAGGTGTCCAACACCCGATGGCCCTTTGGGGGAAGCAACACGTTAAATGTTACTTAGAGTAAACTTTGGATCTACATCTGAATCAAGATTATGAACTAAATAAAGTAATTAGCTGCAAGCACTCTGGTGGAAGTCAGAATGTTTGCAGGCAGCCTAATGTCAAAGTCAGTGGGTAACAGGCTACAGTCAGTGAATGCTGGCAACATCCAGTGTATTTATTCAGCAGCTTTCTGAGAACCTATGTTATGCATATCTGTTAATCTCTGCCATGTTTTATAGACAGCGGGGTTGGAGTGTTGTTGTAACCATGACTATCCAGGAAATATGCAAGAAGCAAGGTTCATTTGGTGCTGGACCAATCTTTTATTGGTACAGCAACATAACTGGGAGATGTTAGACTAGCTTTCTAACAATTTTTGTGCCTGAAAACTCAACACCTCCCCACCATACAGTTGGGCCAATAAAAGATATCACCAGAAAGACTCTTCCTTCTCTTCATTATACATAGGCTGTTTCTGGATACAAGGAAAAACTTTCTGACTATGAGAGCAGTTAAGCACTGGAACAGGCTACCTAGAGAAGTTGTAGAATCTCCATCCCTGGACATTTTCAAGAGCCGGTTAGACAGACACTTGGCTGGGATGGTTTAGTCAGTAACAATCTTGTTCTGAGCAGGGGGCTGGACTAGATGACTTCATGAAGTCCCTTCCAGCTCTATGTTCCTATGATTCCATATTAGGCCCAGGGCTAGAGCTTGCAGTACAAGCTAAAGACTCTGGTTGTAGGGGTTCCTCAGATACAGCTACCCCCAATAAGAGATCAGCTTAATAACCAGTTTATCTAAGACCCTGTATCAAGTTATCTATAAGCATATTAATATTTTTCTTGCATTCCAATCCCTGGACTTACAATCGTACTTAATAGGAGTGTATTGTAGTTACAGTACACTCCTATTAAGTACGATTGTAAGTCCAGGGATTGGAATGCAATAGACAGATAACTATAACTATCTTCAAAATAAAAAAGCAGTATTTCCCTCAGGACTTTTGCCATGACAGTTACTCAGTAACTGTCCTGGACTATTTAACTGTCAGGAATATTTGCAATGTAGATTGATATAATGCTTATACAAGGGAAAACCATATTAAACCAAACTAGCTTTTTTTTTTCTATGGTTAATCTAGAACTTGGCAATTCTCCTTTAGAAGCTATATTTGGAAACAAATGTACAAAATAAAAGCCAGCAATTTACTTAGGTAAACTCATACCTGAGTACTCCTTCCACTTGTTCTTTGTTGTAGCCTTTACCACTTTCACATGCACCAGATGCACTGCTGTCCTTTGTGTTAGCAGGCTTACTTTGATCGTTGCCACCGGCTGGTTTTTGGCAATAGGGACCACCCCCAGCAGTACTTCCATTTTTCATGATGGCATCCAACAAAACTGTAAAAGACAAAAATTGATCATAGTAGTAAGTAGACACGGTTGATGGAAGATACAGAGTTCTTGCACTTTTTCATGATAAAAGCCATGTTGGGGGCAGGTGGAGAGGGAAGAAGAATCCCCTTTGGTTAACCATCACCAGGTACCACCTTCCTTCCAACTCACAAATGAACGCTCTGGAAGCACTGATAGCAGTTCCTTCCTACCCTTCCCCACCATGGAGAACAACAATAGGGGAATATTTAAAGAGTGGTAGCTTGTCTAATAATCATTCTTTATTCTGTCTCTCTCTTATTAATAGAGAGACACTAGGACAGCTCTTCTCAGCCTACAGCTGCTTGCACAAGGAATCAGCTACTTTCATGCAGTAAAAAGCCTAAATGCCAGAATAAGCCCCAGAAGCCAGCTCTTTGCAGAGCCTCAATGGTCCAGAGTAGACTGAGACCTACCATGTACTAAATTATCTAGTCTTGAGACCCAATTCAAGACCATCTGAGCAACAGAACTGATAAAGTCTCAGACTCAATTCCTGGCCTTGTTTCATACTCCCAAAGTGGGCAATACTATCTACAGCAAAGTGCTGAGACTTGGGACAAGAGTGCCTCATATCATAACAGGACTCATATCATAACAGTGGTGTGAAGAGTAGTATTTTCAAGAAGCCTGGTGTGCCACAGTCCTAGTCAATCTTCTAGGATGATTAAAGTTTTAGGAATAACAGTATGGAGCAAAAAACATGAACTGCAGTGATGACATGTAAAAGCAGATCACATTCCCAGCACTCTGACAGCGATGCAAATGATTCCCATAATTCTCAGGAAGAAAAGCAATAGCTATTTTCTGAAATAGACGTTAACTGGCATTGATGGCAACAGTTCATTTACAAAGTCAGGGAACACTTGCAGTGCAATTTAAGCATAGTTTCCAACAATTCACTTGCATCTTTGTAAATGATCACTTACTTCCTAGTGAGGAGTAGGAGGCTTTGCCTGACTGAGTCTTAAGGCAGCAACATCTGCAGGACAAAAGTTTTTCTTTTTAAACCCCCCACCCCGAACATTTATGGCTAAGGTAAGTTGCTGAATGCAAAGTATAGGCAGGGCATTGCACTCTCATCTGCAGATGTTATTGCTGCTGATTAGAGCTCTGATATACCACAGTAGATGGAAACAAACAAGATTTCTATCAATTTCTTTGCTGTACTTTGGAACACTCAGGACAGCAGTGAAATTAAACAATTGTGTCCCTTTCTATGAACAGTAGGCAGTTCACTCTATGCCACTGGATGACTATTCTATTTTGGACTTTTGAGCTCTTTTGTACCAGCAAGACAGGAGACCATAAGTCAGCCACAGGGCAAAGGAGAGATGTTCATGGCCTATCTCCTTTACAGTAGCTAAGATACTTGGCTTATACCTTACAGCATTTATAAATATTGTTATACTTTCCAGCGGAGGAAACAGAAATCCTGATGATCTCCATTTAACTTTGGGGTTTGCTTATCTACTTAACAGTCAAACTCCTACTGAAAAATGTAAGGACGTTTGTAGAAATAAACACTGGAATCAAGAATAACCTTGGCAAGGTGCAATTTAAGCATAGTTTCCAACAATTCACTGCATCTTTAGAAGCATCAAAAAAGAACCATGCTAATATTAGATTCTAAATACTGCACCTAAACTAGGGATTGTGTAGCTCATTAATACAAAATATGAAGCTATAATCATGACAAACCAAGTTAAGATTTTCTCCCCCCCCCAATTCCTGTGGGAGTAGGCCAACAGCATAAGGAAGAACACTCTTTAGCTAACAGTTTATTATAGCAATTGGGGGAAAAAAAAGCACAGAATGTACCTAAAGTACCTTTAGAAAAAAAAGCCCTTGGCTCTGAGGTGCACTTCCTCTGCCCATTATCTTTGCAGGTCATGATGACACAAAGACCAAGTGAAATAAAAAGGGAATAGGCCTATGGCCTATAACTGAAGCTGCCCCCCAAATCCAGGCATTCATCTACATTAAGCATATGTTCTTTTATGCTATATGTGACACTGCTGGAAAGACTGAGACAGGACTCAGTTGATATTCAACCCTTTCTTTCCCTGAAATGAGTCTGCTGTCTCTTTGCTTTCATTTAAGTTCAGCTGGCTCACTTCAGCTCAATCTTAATAAAATGCAGGTGGGCTGGTGGCCAAGGGAATGACATGGTTATAAAAATTCCTGCTATTAAGGAGGTACTTCTAACCTTTATTTAAACAGTAGGCATTAATGAGATCTTTGTAAATCTAGGTTCCCAGACAGGAGAGGCAGAAGGCCTTTTAACACCTTCCAGAGGCAACTTTTAATATTCCATTAGTATATCCATTTGAGAGATAAAGGACTCATGCTGTCCTCTTATAGATGATGATCTAGAACCCAAGGGATATGACTTCCATTTCTCCTTTGACCCAACTTCCAACTTGACCCAAGACAAATCAGAATTAACCCTTTGTTTCCATTTCTGTATTTATAAAAAATGGAACTAATAGTTCCCAATTTGACAAAAGCAGAAAAAATAAAATGCATTAGTGATTAGACACTATGATGGTAGCAGATAGACAAGTTGTTATGCTGTTGCCACCTCCAGGTTGGAAAGGTGTAAATGCTTAGAGACTTCCCAATCCACTGTGAAGTTAAAATCAAAGTGTTTAAGTTTGAACCCAGGGAGCCAGGGGTAGGAACGGTATGACATAGTTTAGCCCTTTTATGAACTTAGCTATGCATCAGAAATAAGCAAGTAGCTAACAAAGTCTGAATGTCAAGGTTTTCAAAGATTTTATGATTTTCCTTGTAAATGATCAGGTTTCATATTCAATGTTAAATAAAAATCCCCAAAAATAAAACAGCTATACTGTTTATGGATGAAAACTGACAATACAGACAAGAGTTTCTTCTCACAATGAATCAAATAGAGATCATTCAATGACTTCAGATTTACCCTTCATTTGTTCTGTAAATGTAAAAACAGGAATTATAAGGGATGACAGCACCTTTAAGCTGTAGCATCACTAGTTTTATTTGTCCCAAGTTAGTAAGAACAAAAAATTGTAGCTATTCAGTTTCTATTTCATGGCCTATATAGTATTTAATAATGGACATGATCAGGTTCCTACTGCACAGGTGCTTACAAAGAGAAGCAAACTGATAATTTCCAGGTTGTCTCTGCACTAGCATGCATCTAAATACTTCCCATCATTGCACTAGCACCAGGGGCAGCAATGGTTGTAATATTGGTGTAGACTGGCAATTTGCATTTTTTGTAACCTACACCTAAGAGCAGGTCTACATGACAAGTTGATTAAAACACCAGCCTGTCTGCATCAGCACTCCCATGACTACTACCACCAGTGGAGGTGTATCACTGCTACTATGGTGGTAGGATGGTACGGCATGAAAATGTTCAATATGCAGAAGGCCAAAGAGGCTAAGGACTTAATGACTATTTGAAACATTCAGTCATCGTTTACTGAGAATTTCCCTCCAGGTAACAAATGAGGCATGTTAGTAGGTTAAGGGTGACAAGATTAACAATACAAATGTTTATTCTTTTTCAAGGACAAACAGAAAGCAAATTTGAAATTTCATAATTAAATCGGGCCTATATTAGACTGCAAAAGATCACTTAAGCCATTAGCGCACACAATAAGGCAAAAACCTACTATTTTAAACTAAAAAAGGCGGGGTAAAGAATCGCAAAGTATTTGGGGAAGTTATTTCCTTTAAATAAAAGATGGTTTGTATGTTCAAAATAAGACTTCAGCTTCACCAGGAACCCTAGTGGAATTTTAAAAAATGATTTGTGACATTGCTGTACAGATATTCAAGAGGACATAAAAGGATTTAAAGAGACATACAAGGATTCAGTTGTTGCATCAGCCGGTAAAATTCATTTTCTTTTCTTCAAAAGGATACCAAGATTTTTTCCATTATTTTTTCTGTTCCTTGCTTCTGAATGAAATACTACTGCACTGTATTTGCTTTAAATATGCAGTGAAGACAGCATTCACTTTCAAATAATCTTTTGGTTAAGAAAATAATTTTGATTTCATCAATTTGGCACCAATATAACAGCCTAATGAACACTGTAGTTCTGCAAAGAACTCTGAAAATCTATGAAGATATAGTGCCAGATATAGTTGAAAATGATCTAAACAGACTATGGGGGAAGATCAGTATCCCCACTGTGCATGTCAGCTACCAACCTTAGAGTCCTGCTCTGCTAAGAGACACATTCTTTGACTTCAAATAGAGCTGTAAGTGTATCGGGTTCTTGTGTGTCAAATCTAGATTTTTACTATTTGACAATTAAATTAATACCTATGGGCACTGGTGCCTCCTGAGTCAGGGGGGCATGTGACCCCCCCCACCCAGCAGCCAGTCAGCAACCAGGGGTGGCTGATCTCACCAACCAGGGAGGGGGGGGCCCCGCAGCCAATCACGCCGACCGAAGCACCCCAATTCCCTGGCTGGCGCTCATGGGGTGCGGGGGGGGAGGGGGGGGGGAGCACCAGAGCTCCCGCCTGCCCGTTGCCTAAGCAGGGAGCACTGGCTGTCAGGGGTTGTGCATACACCCCCTATGCGTCGCCACTGTTAATACCACACAGATGCCTAGCAAAGACTTGAAATTAGAACTTCCCACTGGGTCATGATTTAGTCAACTGGTTCTTAAGAACAATCACAATTTTATATTTAGATTTAACAATCCAGTTTTAAAATAATTTTCTAAAAAAATAAATGATGGAAATATGGAACACCATTTTCATGATGTCATTACCTGAAATCACTTGATAAACAATGATCTTATATTTCACTTGAGCAAAACTTGTGGAACAGCATCAGAGCAGTCAGCATTTTCACCCAGAAACCTTGTTCACACTAGCAAAACTAAACTTTGCTGACAGTGGGAGCCAGCACACGGCACAGCTGAATCAGAGCTGAACGGTTTAGTTGCTCACATAGTTTCATA